CGTTTTATAATCGAAGAATTTTTATTTTTTTAGAATGTGGTAATTTTAATATAAGTGGTACGGTGGAGCCATTAGTTTTTTCCCCCTGAATCAGAACACAGGAAACATGTGCAAGTCCCTCGTCGGGACTCGAATCTGGAGCTATGGAATACACGCCGAGTGTGCGACTTTTATACCACGGAGGCATGCGGGAAAGAGGGGGAAAAGGAAGACTGGGGATTAGAGGACCCAATCGCCAAATTCTGGAGGTGGCGAATTATTGTCCAACACTTTTTGATTCGGACGCCACTGTAGAGTCGTGAGGTTATTTTGAAGCAGGATTACATGAAAAACGAGCAATGTCCTCGCTGGGACTCGAACCTGGACCTCTTGAATACGTGCCGTGTGTACTACCGTTCCATCACAAAGGCATAAGGAGGGAGAAATTACCTTATAAAATACCTAAAATTAACAAGAACCTTATAAACGATACTGCATCGAATAGCTAAATAGTTAAACAACTGTATTTAAAAATTCATCAAACAGGATTTTTCTTTCTTTAGCTTCGCATAAAAAAAAAAAAAAAAAAAAAAAAAAGGGGCATTGATTTTATTCTTTTGAGTAACTTCATGTCTGATTTATCCTCATTTTGAGTGTAAAAATCTTCCATGATAGCTTTTTAAGTGTTAAAAGATATTTAAGAGTTAAAAATAATCATGTCTATATATAAAATAATCAAGTCTGCATATGCTGTGGTCATGCTCCAAGCAGTGACTAGTCGTCAATAAGAATAGCAAGCTACACGCAGCTCGCTCTGCTAGCGTTTGATACGTCTGTTTTAAATAAATCAGCTTTTCACGCATCTGATTGCAGACTGAGTGGCTCAGGGGACAGATGAAATTTTATATACCTAAATTATTTGCTTCACGAGTAAACGGCGGACGTGAAAAGATAAACTATTTCAGTCTATACATATATGTATAGGTTTTAGCGTCCTTACAGGCACATCAAAAAGTCTCGTTTTAAAAGAGCATCATATTTAAGTACCGTTCCACACCAATTTCCCCTCAATTGTGTGATGTATTTTTAAAATGCAATCACAGAAAAGTATAATAAGAGAACTAAGAGCCCAACGAAACTGAAGCAATTAACCGGCGCCAAGACTTGCATACAGAAAACGCCGTTCCATTAGGCATTATTAACTTATTCTCTTGCACAAACCAATATGGAAAGGTCTGGCATCCAGTAGTGGAATACTGAGTCGAACGGTAACGAGAGCCCATTACAAGCGCAAGCAAACCATATCCGTAGGTGACAGTGAACGTGTCTGCAAAGCGCAGTGCAGTTCCTTTAATCACACCTGTCACCTTAAACAGTAATGACAAAGATTGGCCGAGCTGATAGTAGGTTAGAAGCGGTCATTTTCACAGTCGTTTATGATAATGTCCCGGCTCTTGCCAACATGATTATTTCTCCCTTTTCGGCCTTGTTCCGATGAGCTTTCATGTGGAACCGAAGGAATTCAATTTATTTCATTTGGGTTTAGGCTCAGAATTTAAAATATTAGAACATTCCAGGAATATCTAAAAGCGGTGATCAGCTTCGGACATCAGATTAATCATTTCTGAGACGGACACGAAATATTTGAACAAAAATAATTTAGCGCGCCCCCGTCTCTACCGCACTTAATTTCAATGTAAAAGCTGTAACGGATGAATGAGGAAGTATGTGCAATGTGTAATTTTATTTTTATTTGCAAAAGGTGAAAAATATAGTGCTCTTTCCCAAAATTCCTTCTTAAATTAAAGCTACGCTAGATTAATATATATAACAATCTTATAAATATCTTTAAAAATGTAATTAAAAATCATTAAGACTGTTTGAAATGTGAAGGTATTTAAAAGCCAAGGTTTTGCAAAGGTAAACCAGTAAGGGAAAAACGTTAATTCCAACTGTAATTTCAGCCAACCTTTAAAAGTTTATAAAAGTATCTAAAATTACAGAAACAAAATTTAACTTGCTAGTATTGAACATGAAGTGTAAATTATACTTTATTTAATTAAAGATCATAGAGGTTGTGTGGATTTGGTTAAGAGAACGAATTCTCAAGTTGATTAACGAAAAATTGTTTTCTCTCGGAGCGGGCCCTTTTACATTGGCAGAACTTAAACACTTCGTCATTAAAATAAAAATTTCGTTCGGTTTTCAAGTATTATAATAATACAGAAAGTTAATTTACTAAGAATGAAACATAAAAAAATTACCTATAAGCTAAAAAGAAAAAAAAATTTATAGTGCTGTTTTCAAGGAAACTAACGTTTCCTATTACATTACAAATGCATAAAACGGAATTAATTTATACAAAACCAATTTTTAATAAATTAAGGAAGAAGATTTCATTCCTCATTTGAAATCATCGTGAAAGAAAATCGTTCTTTCCTTTCCGAGTTATTTTAAATTTTATTTAAAAGCTGTGAAATACTTAGACACCTTATTTGATGGCCTTCGAAAACATAACCATCCATATATGTTGAAGAAGGTAAACTGCTGAGAGATTACGGCTAGAAAACGCTAGTAATTGTTTCTCGCGTTCCTTTTCCTGAAAAGTGAATGAATAGGCAGTATTTGATTTATATTGATATCTTCTTGCATACGTAACGTGCGCCAATTTCCCTCTGATAAACTGTCCTCAAAACAATCTTCCTAACTTAAAATAACCCTTAAAAAGCTTGCCCGAACAAATAATCTTGATTGGAGGGAAATCTATTGTACCGATTCAAAACACGCTCACTAGCGTTCGAGCCGTAAAGTCGCTGAACAATAATAGTTCAGTCCGCGGTTCAAATCCCGGCGAAAGGTCTGGCTGCATGGGCATTTTCGCGGTTTTCTCTATATGGGTAACATGTGTACGATCCCTTCTTATTTAGAAATTACTCCACGGAGGCATCCCTCCGCTTAGTACGCCTTGAGTGCTTTGCCATAATTAAATAAATGAAACAAAACATTGTTCGGTCAGTGTAGAAGAAAAATTTAATGAACGGCTAAGAAACCAATAATACACTGCCTGACAAATAAAATGCAATACTATGAAAGAAAGACTAGAATGGGATGAGAATTGGCAGGTAAATACATAATGTATATATGCATCCGGACATTTTGAACACATGTTAAAATACTTTGTTCTGCTATTGGATAGTTTGAACCTTGTCACATACTTTTTTAAAGAACTACAAAATTTCGGCTTCTCCAGAGCAGTTTGAATTCTACTTTCTAAGAATTCTAAAGAATACCGTTTGGTCATCTTTAGAATCAGTTACATCACGCATAGAAGGTCATGTTAAGATTTCAGTAAGTTTGCGTTTTTTGTTTTTTTTCAATTATTTTTTCAAATGGGTTTTCAGTATTTGCTGTTTAAATTTAACCATTTTATTTCGAAATCCCTAAGTACAGTTTTTCTTTTTCTTGATATTAAAAGTTTAGTTTCGCATAATCGAGGACCCTCCACCTAATTTTTTAGTTTGTTTAAAGGACTATTAGTTTTGCTCTTTATTTATACTTGATTTTGAATTTCAGGTTAACATATATTGGTTTTAGACCAATTTGTTTTTTGTTTTTTTTTTTTTTAAATTTCAATACACATAATGCAAAGTTCTAAGCTTTCTTAATTGTAATTTTGGCACTATGTAACGTTTTATTCTTTTTTTCCAAATGTTTCGAAAATGTGTAGGGAAAATTCTGGTGCAATTGAGATTCGAGTTTTCTGTTTTATATGAATTTTAAAGTCTTTAATAAAAATTTGATGACATCGTTTTACGATTTTTGATCTCAAATGTACCAGGAGAACGAAGCATATTAATCGACTTTTGTGAAGCTTTAATTCATTTCCCCCTGATGAGTTCTGAACTGGAGTTTTAATAACAGGAGATTAACTTTTATCTGTATAATTTTGTATATTTTCCATTTCGCACTTTTATTTTTCGAGATTGTTCCACTATGAATTCTCTCTTTAATTGAACTGTTTTGATAGTGTGTTAATACATGGTTGCAATTATTATATTATAGAGGAATTGCCTTGCTTTTATTCCAATTTACTAATTAATTTAGAAGCTTTAAGTTGATATATATTATATATATATATATAAGTGGTTTTAATTAAAAAATAATTCAAAGTATAAAGTGAGTAATGAGTATAATATATATATTATATATGAAGACTTAAACAATCGCTCTCTCTCTCTATATATAAAAATATCTATATAATCTCTCTCTATATAAATTGGAGTCAAAGCAAGGCAATTCCTCAACAATATTAATAATTGCAATCGTATTAAGGGACAATATCTAAGAGACAAAGGTTTAAGACAGTATCTAAAACAAGTTAAAATTAAAATAAGAATTCATAGTAGTACAAACTCTAAAAATAAAAAGGAAAAGGAACATGTGTAAATATACAAGGTAATAAAAATATAAATTAATCTCCTTTTACTGAAACTCCAATTCAGAACTCATCAGGTGGGAAAGGAATTAAAGTGTTAGCAGTAAATTGTAAAAGCATGGAGTGACAAGCTTCGATAAATAATTAAAAGAATTCAACAATTATAATATTCTGTTTCAGAAACATAAAGAATGCACTGTTGAGAATACCTTATATTAATGGAATGAAATATTAAAATTGCACCCAAATGCATATTTCAAATAATATAACTGAAAAATCATAAATATTTAAAATGAAAGTAAAAAAAATATGCATATAATTCTCAAAAATTAAAAATAACCCAAATATCAGTAGTGTTTAAATGCTTTGTAAAACTTTATAAACTACACGATTAATTTTTCATTTTTATTTGAAATGTATATTTTTGTTTCAAATAAAAATGATGATAGATACCTTTTCCTTTATAATTTCGTTTTAAATTTTAAGCCGTTCTATTTAGTAAATAGAAACAAAGTTTGAAGAAAAACATTTTTATGTGTGCATGTATGAATATAAATGTAATGAATTGCATAACTTTAATTTCTAGTGTGTGTAACTCAGCTTACCTAGTGTTAAATGGGAGATCATCTTCTTCTAATAATCAAAATTGTGAACTGAAAAAATTTTTGGTAAGCAAGTTTATTCCAGTTTGCTTAATGTAGTTTAATTACATTATGTCATAAAATGTGAAGAAGTTGACCTGAATTTCTGATTTTTCAAATACTGAGCTTTTAATTAATTTATTACTTTAAATTTGATGGTGCTTTCTCGAGCAAGATATTTCTAATTGTCAGTAAGAATCAAACTTTAAAAATATGGCAAATTTGCATTAGGAAATTTTCATCAAACATAACAGTTATAATGAAGATATGTATATTATATATATTTCCAATAGCGGACACGAGCCTTTACAGGCGTTGGCCACCACTAAGGCCAGAAGCGGTAGTCACTTTCTTACGGAGGCACCTAACAGGTAAGCCACCGTTACTTTCTATGAAAGGACAGACAATTTAGATCCATGCCTTCTCCGAAACTCGTATCCTTCCGTACAGCAGTCAGAGTTCCCATCTACTCGGCTCACATACAATGAATAATACTATAAATAGCTGAAAATTTAATTTGTTTTCAGCTCACTTACTTCTAAATTTTAATTTGAATTCCTGAGTCATTATTTCTATAAACTCTTTCTTATTGGTTAACTTAAATAGCTCAGAAATAGAATATATTTATTTTTCTAAGATGTATAATATTGAATAGATAACACAATGTGAATGAACTGTAATATTAACATGATTACAGTTAATTTTTTGGAAGCAAGAGTCACGAAAAATGAGCAACGTCCTTGCCGGGAATGGAACCACGGACCTCTGGAATACGCGCCCAGCGTACAGACCACCACACTACGAAGGCATGCTAAGAAGGCGAGAGAAATACTTTATAAGCTCCCCCACTTTAAAGGGCGACTTGCTTATTTGTGTACATATACTTATGTTTTTATTTATAATTTCATCATCAACTGTAATGTATGGTATTGTATTTGTAATGTCATTGTCATAAGCAACTGTATCTCCCGTACCACAAGTTCTCTATGTCCTAATGATTAATGTTTCAATTAACACCGATGCTTGGCGTAAGTACGCCCTGTGAAGGTGTTCATCTCAAGACGGTTAGTGTGAAGGAGCGACATCAGTTCTGCCAATGGCGATGTGTTGGTGCTTTCCACGCTTAGTCCTGTCCTGTCCTGTCCTGCGGTTTTTAGGGGGCCCAATAGCCAAATCCTGGGTGTGGAGAATGATTATCCACCACCCTTTTAGTTTGGACGCCACTGTAGAGACATTAGGTATTTTTTTTGGAAACAGGAAAGATGAAAAATGAGCAACGCCTTCACCGGGAATCGAGCCACGGATCTCTGGAATACGCGACCAGCATGCAAACCACCACACCACGAAGAAATGCAAGGAAGGCGGGAGAATATCTCCTAAAGTTTTTAAAATCATTAAAAGCATAATGAGTTTAGATCATTTTTATGAGATAATTTTCCTTTTAATTTTTGATATTCTGTTCATTGGTTAATGTATGCAAGACCTTCGAGAATGAACGGTGGTATTTCATGAGGATATTTCATTTTAGATTCTGTAAAATGTGTAGTCTATGAAGTACTTTTATTCCATTCTGCCATTCAAAACTATTATATACATATACAAATAAGCAGTACTCCATGTAAATGAGTGTGTAAATCATTACAGTTGCCCAATTTGTGTCTCAGAAAATCCTTAAATGACATATAAGCCCAATCTAAACTATTCTAAGGTCAATATCTTGAGCGATTTAATGAATAACAAACTTACTTTTTATGTCTGTTGACACGAATATCAGTTTCACTGTGTGCTTGAATTATGTTACAGATCTTTTTGCTCCTTCAAATCACGCAGAAGGAAGTGGATGATGTGAATATCTTCTGTCTATTCAGGAACGAGCCCAACCTAACTGAATGGATGTGTTCATGATGAGTTAAACTATGAATTTACAGAAATTGACATATTTCCATAGCCCACAATAAGTCCTGATCTTATCTCACTAGATTTATTTCTTCTAATGCTTTGTTCAAAATGAGATTTTCAAGAAAAGAATACATGATTTTGACCACCTCAAAAAGGAAATCACACAAACAACTGCAAGCTTTACATCAAATGTTCTTCCCAGAGTATGGACAAAGCTCAGTCATCTCTTGTGCTCGTAATGATACAAATTTTAATAAATAATATTAATTTTCCACGGGAAGGTAGTATGTGATTAAACTAAAAAGCACTTTCAATCCTTTTCAGTTACGCATGCTTCTTACTATAACATGAAATCATCCCCCCGGTTCATCCTGTATCCGGTAATTTATAGTATTTCAAATGGCCAGTTATATCTACTATGAAAACCGGATAAGTGTACTAAGTTTTGGCATCAAAATTAATTGTACTGACGATTTGTTCTGTCATAAGATCTAATAGCTTATTGCTGCTAAACTACATCAAACCTACTAGCGACAATTTATAATAATAAAAAGTAAAAAATTATTTCTTTGCATGTGCTTTTCTAACATTACAGAAAAAGTTACCTGTTTATAAAAACATCTGATCATTATTAAGCGATTTAGAAGATTTTTTTGCTACACCATAAGTAAATAAAATAAACAAATCAGAATCTGTTTGTATATCATTCACTTATAGCTGTGGTTTAAATGTATGTTTAAAAAATTAAGAACCTCTTCTCAAAGTTGTAATAGATTATCTATTTATATTAAAGGGCATAAAACTAATAAATTTATTTAAAGTATTTGATGACTTGATTAAAAAATTAAAATTTTCACTATTACCAACTATGAAACTAATACATTTCTTTAAAGTACTTTTTACTTAAACAATAAATTAAGACTTTCATTTTTTAGCTGAAATATATTTTTAAGATATTAAAAATTCAGAAGTAAAAGTAGTTTGAGAAATTTTTGATACTATGTCTTAAAAAGGGCATGTTATATATAAATGTTTCTATGTGTACAGAAAGGATAATCATTTATTCTTCTGTCAGGTATAGTTTGAATTAAAAAAGAGATATAAACCAGGTTAAGATACTTAAGAAAACACTGGTTTAACCAAAAATTGTAACTTAATGATTATACAACAAATTTTTAAAAAATGAAAGAAATTATACTAATACATTAAGAACATCTTTAGTGCACTCTTTCCAAAACTTTTGGAACGTTGTGCTTGTACCTTTACAATACAATACAGTTATTATTAAATTGGACTTGGCAGTTGCTGCCATTTTTCAAAGGATAATACATTTTAATTCCATACAACCTCTCTTATCTTATTCTCAGAGTACTATTATTTAATAAATTATGAGATCATTATCTTTCACTTGTAATCAATCTGTAATTGCTTAATTATTGCAAAAAATGAATATTTTAAAAATTTAATTTTTAAAATCTTTTATCCATGTTTGTAATTGCTAAAATTCAAAATATATTTAGTTTATAACATATTCAACTGATAAGAGCAATTTCTGATGTATTATAATTTGTAACTGGTTTCAATCGTTATATATTATGTACATGTCTAAGAAATCATTTGGTTTAATTTGTCATAAATCCAGTTATTAGTGTTATGAATAACCTCCTTCATCATAGTAATTAATAAAGGATATTCTAATACTGTTATATTTTAGAAACTTATTACCAATGCATTTGAATTCACGATGTCTTTAATATTTATATAGGTGTTTTGCTTGAGATATCGAAGCAGAAGATGCCTTTCATTTTATGGATTTTTATGGGACTATATAAAAACCAGATGTTTTCTTTAAAAAGACGATATTGATTTATGAACAACTGAACAGTAGCCATTAAAGTATTTCATAAAGAAAAATTTATGAAAATCAATTTGAGCTTATTTGGTATGAAGTTTTATCATTAAAGTATCAGTTGTTATCTCTACTTTTGTGTTATTATTGCTATCAAATGACACAGAAGTACTTTAACTGCATGCATACATAGTACATGCATTAAAATGGTATTTCATTGTTTCATTGTATGAAAATGTTGCACAAAGGTTTAATGACGAAAAAAAATTTAAATGATAAAAAATGAAGTTTCATTTATTTTTCATTGAAATAAAATATATTTGCTATCTGATTGAAACTGTGTTGCTTTTAAAAATGGAACATTGTTACCCTTTATGTTTTTAGCATTGATGTTTTTAAAAAGAATTTTTATTATTGGATGTAATATTGCTTATTAGCTACGCCACCAGTCTTCGTCTGGCTTTTAAATGTACCGGAAAAATGCCTAAAGGGAACACCAAGCATTAAATTTAAAAACTTTATCCAAAAAAAAAAAAAGACACAAATTTTAATAAAAATATATTACATATAAATAATTACAATGAAATAAGCAATATCCCTTAATAGAAATATTAATTATCCTAATAAACAAATTAACCAACTTCCCGTTGTCTTTTGTCCACAAATGGCCAGTATCCAAGAGAAAAATTAAATTTTAAAACTGTACAGAATTGTCACCTCATTTTTCCGAGTGGCAACAGGGCTGATATCAGCAACAATGGCTGCTTGCCATTGTTGCTGATAAAATGAGAGAAAATGATCGATTTGATGCGATTTCATCAAAAACATAAAATTAAAAAATATTTTTTTTTAACTCATTCGAATTTTGGAAAAAAAAAAGAAAAAACGCTTGGGGATGCACTGGCTCTTGTCTAGATGTGCTCCCCTATGTACTAAATTTCGTAGCCCTGGGTGTATAGGTAACGCGGGGCAGCACACGAACAAAAGACACACACACAGACTCTTCCTTTTATGTACATAGAATGAACGTTTGCTGTTTCATTTTGTGTTTCACAAATGAACTCACAACACTCATTATACTATTACGGGTTTTGTCTGAACACTAAAGATAATTCTTAGTTTGTAAAATATGAATGCAAGACATTTTATTAGGGAATTTTCATATGTATTTCGAATGATAGCTGGTTTACGGAAGATCTGAAACATTGGACTATTCTAAATTTTGCGATAATCTTTAATGTCACTATTCTTAGTGGAAAGGAAATTTCATCTATATGTAAAATGTGTAGGAAAGTACCTAAAAAGGGAAAAAAAAAAACTCATAAATGAAAAACCCTTTTCACCTGTTAGTTAACCCTTTCCGCACGCTACCTTTTTAAAGTCGGAGTTCTGATAAAAAAAATAAATAAAATAAAATAAATAAAAAAAAAAGTAGGCAGTCTAATTAGGCCTAGAGGAGTAGTACACGAGTAAAATTTTGGGAAGATAGCACTTATCGTTTATTTCTGTGGATGTGCCCGAAGAGGGCCCACTGATTGAATACAGCATCGAAAAGAGTGCTGAAACGAGCATTGTTGTCAATGAACTGACCGATGAGAGGCGGAGAAACAAAGATTACCAACTCTCAGTTGTCCTAGATTATCAGTGCGCCCGGTCTGGGCACTCCTAGGGTTCGCCATTTGATTTTAGGCAAGATTTTAAGGTAAAAATTTAAAACTAATATAGAATAAGGCCATTAGCATACAGCCAAAAAAATAACATAGAAATTTCTTTTCAAACAATTCCTTTTTTACCCTAAAAAAATTCTGGAAGATTTCTTTGAAAAATGAGGGTCTTAAAAAATTAAACATGGCTAAAATATATGGACTAATTTGTCTTGAGCTGCCATCTACTATAAATAAAGAAGGTTCAGAGTAACCTATAGTAACCTATAAATCCTTTTTCATTCAATTTTTCTGTGCGTACAGAAGGAAATTTTTAGGTGTGTCCAGACCGGACACACTGTGCAGCAAAGGGCTAATACTGTCATTTATTTAGTCATATGTGAAAATAAGTTTCAAAAATTGCGATTATTTGGAGTATTTTAATTTATTAAGTGAAATTAGAATATTAACCAAATTCTTGTAAATCCTGAAAAGGATAAAAATTAACAGTTCGTTTAATATTCCTATGGCATTAGATAATTAAAATAATAAATGCCGTAAACAACCCAAAATGTGGGGAAAGTTGAGGAGAGGATACTAAGGTGGGACGATAAATCACTGGATTGTCAACAGAATTTAGATTTTAAACACAACGGAAGCTCCATTTTTGTCTTAGGTCTTATTAGTCGCATACAATTAGGTATCAGACCTTATCAGGGTCAATGTTCCTTCTTACCTTCTTCGGGAACATACAAGGACCTGACTCGGAACAGAGAGCTTACTAAAGCTATGTTCACTAATTGTGGTAAGTAGACAGGATACAGACGAAGGGTATACAAAACCCTTTATTTTTCTCTATATACAATAACTTCCGTACTTCGGAATACACTGACCCGCTACTTGGGGTCTAACGTAAAAGTAATAAAAATAAACTAAACTCTAATTTAACTTTAGAATAATAAACGTGGAAGATTGGCCTTATATTAACAAGCCGTATGTAGTACAGAGAACTGTGAACACTACAATACGTTTAAAAATTTATCAAGAGGATTAAAACCTCTGGCCTGGAAGGCAAACAGCAACTAAGTAACTTCTAAGGTAAGCGGCCTGCTTTGACTCACTGCTTCCTCTCTCTCGCTTGGCCAACGGCCGAGCGGTAAAGTCGCTGAACACTGGTAGTTCGGTCCGAGGTTCGAATCCCGCGAACGGGCTGGCTGCATGGGTGTTTTCGTGGTTTTCCCCATGTGTTTCCCTTAGAAAGCCAGTTTCCCTTAGAAAGTCCTCCACGAAGGCATCCCTCCTCTTAGGCAGATAGCCCTAGTGTGCTTTGCCATAATTAAATACACCACACACACACCTCTCTCGCTTGGCAAAAGGCCACAACTTAAATACTTGGCGTTCGCCAGACAAACTTTGCATAAAAACCTTAACACTTATAATTCTGGCCGGAAGTAGAAAATAAGAAGTGATAGTAAAGATTTAAAATAAAATAAACGTTAGTAAAACTTAAGATCCTTACATACTTCCCGCCAGAGTTAATTAGTTTGAAACTGAGGTCTAAAACGACCTTGTTTGAAAACTTTTAGCTCTAGAATCTAACGCGAGGCCAATCTTTTACAAACACACTTCGCTAGAAACTAGAAATTTTAAAAGAAAGAATTTTTTTTTTTTTTTTTTTTTTTTTTTTTTTTTTTTACAATAGCAGCTTTCACGATATACAACAATTTTTTTTCATCTGTACTGCATCTAAACAGGAGCTTTATTCAATTCTGGTTCCTTCCAGAGATCTGGAAGGAAAACTAGTTAATGAAATGTTACACAATGAAATGGCAAGTAACATATACAATTATACTTCTCTTAACATTCTTATTTCATTCATGACTTTTAATTATCTCTCCCCGTGCTCTCTGACATGTGTTGTAAAAGAACACCAAACACGAATGTGTTTCTGTCTACGTGTTCCACGTGTTCCACACTTCCTCCTACAATCAAAACACTAACGTGTTAAAATTCAACATAACAAAGACCTCTTAACACACCCTAATTTCAACTCTAAACCCTGAGGTACTATTCTGAAAGTGTCTAACTCTAAAGTGTAGCGTCAGAGAGCCTAACTACATCATTCAACCTTTAACACATATTCGCCATGCTTTAGTCTTTTTACAGTCACACGAATAAAAAATTTTAACATTCACTTTTAACCATATCACGGTATTTCTTAACATTTAAAATAACAGTTCACATTGTATATAAGAACATATCATGCCGTTAATTTTACACATTTGAAAACATACATTAGTAGTACATTGTTAACTTGTATTCTTTTTCAAAGCAAGTGCCAATTCTTTCTATATTGAAATACTACATTTCAAAAGTCTTTCAGACTAAAACTTCTCTCTTGCTAGAATGTTTTAAAATAAATTTATACAATAACTTTTTTCAATATTTAAGTCTTTACACAACGCTATTATACATCAACTTTAGTTTTTACGCGCGAGTAATTTAAAAACATAATACGAAAATCGGTAACAACTCATTTCTCGCCCTTTTGGCGATAAAGGTAGACCTCGCATGAGGTAAAAGTTCTTGAAATCTGCCACTTGCAGTAAGAAATGAAAGATTAACTTAAGTTTGCAAAGTAACATAAAATTTACTTATCTTTGTGATATTCGGACATCCTTTTCTGGGCCCAGTCTTTAAAGGTATTGCAGATAGTAGTTTTGATTTATCCTCCTTCTTGTACGGGCTCGCCCTTCAGTGCCTTCCTCTGGAAGCTTTCCTTTTTTCACCAGTTTCGGTCACCCTTGAATACCTTCTTTTTCTCCTCTGCTTGTGGTCTTGGCCGTTTGATGGCAGCTGGTCTTGGCGGAACCAGGAAACTTCTGTCGTGTTCCTGCTTGGACCTCGTTGCTAGCCGTTCAAATTTTCCTTGTACTTTTTCCTCCGCCGCTGATGGCCCTTCCGCAGTTCGGCGACTTTTGCTGCGGAGAGTCCTGTCGGATGAGTAGATCTTCCGTTTTAGAGCCGGGTTATAGTTGCCGTCATTTCTCCTGGTTCTCTTCACATACGTCGTCCTTCTCCCTTCTTCAATGCCCACCAGCGGCCGAGCGGTAAAGTCGCTGAACACTGGTAGTTCGGTCCGAGGTTCGAATCCCGCGAACGGGCTGGCTGCATGGGCGTTTTCGTGGTTTTCCCCATGTGTAACGTGTATACGAGCCAGTTTCCCTTAGAAAGTCCTCCACGAAGGCATCCCTCCCCTAAGGCAGATAGCCCTCGAGGCTTTGCCATAATCACACACACCACACACACCACAACACTCTCCCTTCTTCATTCTGGGGGTGTTCGTGAACTCTCTTTTCTGGACGGTGGAACGGCTTCTTTTTCTTGCTACTTTCAATTTTTCCGCGGGGAAATTTTCTTTTCACTTGCTCCTGCCTGTTAATGGCTTGC